TATTTATCAGGGGAAACGAGGGTGTGATTAAATAAAACAGAATCAGCCCCATGTTAGAAAATACCGTCAAGGGAAAGTCGTGCCTGAGGCCTCGTTGGTCTTTATGAGAAGCCGGAGCCTGGGCTGTGGTGGGAGGAGTAGAGTGAGCCTTGGTTGTGTTTATTTCTCAGGCCGGGTTCAACCTCCTGAGGCCCAGCTGAACTAAAATCTTCATCAAATTCGTGGAAGGGTCCGAGAATCAGAGGCTGGCCTCCCTCAACGTTGGAGGGCTGCCTCCAGTCCTGAGCACGGCAGGTTGGAGGAGAGGCGCAGAGCTTCCAAGCGCACGGCTCAGGCTTGCCCTGTGGAGATAGATCTCCAGCTCCTGGAGGGAGATCTTGCTTGTTCTGTGTCTTTGGGATTAAAATACTCTGTAGCCTGCATCTCATCCCCTCAAATGTGTATTAGACAAATACAAACGTTAAGTAAAAAAAGATGTATTAGAGAGGTTATGTGCTTTAATGGAAAAGCACACCAGCCTAACAGAGCTTTCCTAGGTGCACACAGATACCTAGGGATCTTGTTCAAATGCGGATTCTGAGTCAGGAGGTCTGGAGTGGGGCCTTAGGGTCTGCATTTCTAGAAAGCTCCCCCAGGGTGCCGGGACTGTTGGTCTAGGGGTCATACCCTGAGGAGCAAGGATCTAGAAGACATGATTTCAAGTACTGGCTTCCCACAGCCTCAGTTTTCCCACCTGTGAAATAAGGGACTTTGGACTAAACTCCCTTTTAGTTCTAACCATGGAGAGGCGAGCAGAAGACTCGGGGCCGTGTGAAGAGCGTGTTCCTGCTCTGAGTTTTTCAGGACTCCTCACGGTAACAAGGGAAGACCAATGGACATATGAAAACAAACCAGGCATAAAATACAGTTGGTATTCGGACAATCCCGGAGCGTTTCCAGTTTGTTCACATCATGCCTTGCCTACATTCAAAGGTTTGGCTTCAGTTAGATCACACGATCAACAAATGAACCTTGTAATTGTGCTGCTTGTCTCAAATAGGCTATTGGGTAGGCTTAGTTCTGCCCATAGCTTGCCCAATAGAACAGTCTAATTAGCAATAATAATCCAAGGTAGGCACAAGAGATTATTACCATTAGATCTGAAACGTATTTTTAACCAGAGTAGAAGTGAAGGTAGAGCTTGATACTACATTTCTTTTTTGCTAAACCTGTCAGTTGTGGAGGACTTTCATACCACCTTGAAATCTTTCCTGTCCTTCAGAATCCTTTCAAATGTTCCTTTCTCAGTGAAACCAGCCCTGAAGCCACAGAATAGTAGCCCCCCCGCGCCCCTCTGCTCCCGGTTACGCCTCCATCAGAGCGCGCACCTCACGGTTGGGCTCATACACTTATATGCCTTGTCTCCCTCGCTGAATTATGAGCTCCTTACACCATCTTGATGGAGTAGAAAGAGAGTTCAGGGACTCGGAGCCCAGGTTCCTGAGTGCACAATTCAGCACTGTTCTGCCCTGGTCATATGTCCCCAGGAGGCCATGGAAGGTTCCAGCCTGGATGCCTTCCTCTGTAGTGGCGGTGATCAGATGGGGTTGTTGGGAGGGTTGCGTGAAATAACGGGTGTGAAGCTGCCTCCCTCCTCTCCTGGCTTCGAGTAGGCCTCGGATAAAGGTTTGCTAAGTTTTTCCTTCTCTGAAGTCATGATATCATGACTTATAAATCTTTATATCTCTGGCACTTCAGAAAAAGTCATGCCTAGTGGGTGCGCAATAAATTGTTTAAAGTTGAACTTCATATCCTCTCTTTTAAGGAGATTGGGGTGTATTTATTTTAGGCATAGAAATAATCCGAGGTGGACAAATAACTGGTTTGGTTTTCCCCTAATAGCTCATAGTGAATGCTCTTCTGAAATATATGAAATGTATTTTGAAGTAGTTATTAAAATTCTGACAGAGATTTATTTCTGGTTTGCTTAGTTTAGAAATCCTAAACACGGAGGAGAAAAGATAAACATTACACGGGGGAAAAAAAACCCTGTATTTAACAGAAAATTCCTATAGGGTATCCATTTTATATATTTCTATGTATAAACTTTCTGGAAGAATTAGAAAAAAATTGATAACGCTTACCTTTGGGAAGTAGCAGACAAGGAGACTTTTCATTTTATACGTTTCTATGTGGTTGAATTTTTGGCCACGCAGGCATCCTTGGGTTTTTAAAATATGTCTATATTAGTAAGGAAATCCAGGGGAATTGAAGGATAGGCCATTTTTATTTCACTCTTTTACATATTAAAACCCTTAATAAGCATTATTCTGAAGTTTTATTTTCAAGTGGCTTAAGTACAAGGTGCTGATGATAAATGAGGGTTTCTGCCCCTTGTCAAGTCACCACCATCACAGAAGGCGAGGGCGAGCTCATCTCGCTCCGCGTTCACTGCCTCTGAGCTGTGCGAAGCCCCCGGGTGGGGCTGCGTCCTCACGCTGCTGCGGGGCGGGGGGAATCTGGCATCGGGCGTGAGCCCTGGAACTGCTGGAACATGGCTTCACACAGCGACGATCTGGCTTAGACGAGGCTACCGGTGACAGCCCAGAAGAACGGGAGTGACACAGAGCCCAGCCCAGCAGGAGCATCGTCCCTCTTGCCCCCCAAAAGCAGGAGAGTCGCCCTCCTGTGAAACATGGTGCCGGAGTCTGTTCTTTTCAGTGAGGTCGGATTTTCATTTCTCCTCTGGCGCCACCTGGCTGTTTTCAACACTCACCCCCCTGTCCCCACCAAGAGTCGGGACTGTGCCCATTCGGAGTGTCTGAGAACGACTAGCGCACTCTTGTCGCTGCTCGGGTAGGACGAAGCAGCATGCTCCCTGGCTCCCGTCTATCATTTTCTGCTACCTCGGACTTGGCTCTGATGCCGTGAGGGTGTGCCCGGGGAAAAGGCACCTCAGAGACGTTTGAGGGACTGCTCCCAATTCTAGGTGGCACCACCACACGGGGGCCTGGACAAACTGGGATGTTTTCACGGGAGAGCAGCCGGGATGGCTGAAGGAGTCATAACCGACATCACACAAAGATCTGCTCACAGAGGGAGGCCCCACTCGCCTTTCTGTGGTCAGATCGTTCACATGTCTGTACCCCAGGTTCCTCACCAATGAGCGGGCCTCCACGGTGTTGACCCAAAGGGTTGTCGTGAGGATTAAATAAGTTAATTCCCACAGATGCTTAGAACTGGGAGTGGTTTGGCAAGTGCTGGTGACCATTCTTTGTTCCTAGGCTGGAGCGACAAGAAAGACTCCCAAGCTTTAGATTGCAGCAGCCCCGGGCCACTCCTGCTCTAAGGGGCTCGCTTTCTGATTTGCAGGTCTCTTTAAAGACACAGACATTGTTATGAAGAAGCTTAGCTGCTCATTATTCTCCTGAGAAGCTGCGTGGCAAACCTGAGCCTTTCATGCTAGAAATGAGACATGCTACACATGCATTTCCTGGGCGAATCTCTCTGCTTTTGGAATTCCGTGGCCTCGTGCTCGTACAGTCTTTCAGTGGTCTTCTGGATGTGCACTGGGCCTCATGCTGTGAGGAATCTCTTTATTGGGGTGGATGATCTTTGCATGCTCAGCCCGATAGTCAGAGGAGAACATGCCATCCCCACCCCGACAAAGAATGACCACCCACCTCCTTGCAGTACCACAGTCAAATTGAAACAGCCTTTGTGTTGTCTTGCTGTGCAGTTGCTCCAGCATTCGCCGTTCACCGTAGCTGTCTGTGTTGGGCCATCTGCAAGGCAGCGTGCGTGTGTCATTGATGTGACGGTCACTGGACTTCGCCAGATGTTCTCCTTCTGGGTCTCATATTGATCCATTCACTGAATATTAAGCAAATGAATTTGGGCTGAATGTTTAAATAGAGTATTTCCCAACCTAATCTAAAAGCAAGAAATGAACCGGTGTTTTTTATCTTGTTGCTTAGATGCCGCTCAGTATCATAAATGTGCCTTTGAAAGGGACCGTTCAGATGGTGCTTCGGTGAAGCGAGCGAGAAAGCAGCAATGGATGAGAGATGTAGTAACAGCTTTTTTAACACCACATGCCGATCTAGCGACTTTCATTTACTAATGATGCCATTTCCCTTAGATATCGCCCACCCTGCAGACACCTCCCTGGAGGAGGGTTTGCCGTACCTAATATTATTTCATCCTGAGAAAGATTCTGGCTGGGGCTTTTGGGGCCTAGTTTTTTAGAAGAATCAAGGGAATTAAGAAATTCGAGTGTATGCTCACAGTGACACCAAGAGCGACATCTCTCTAACTCTCGATTTGCCGTTTGTTTCCCTTATGGAAGCAAAGCCAACCGTGATAAGGTTGATAATTCTCAAACTACTCACAGCTATTTCCCTTCTCTGCAGGCTCCTTAAGTTCCTGACTCAAAAAGAGGTTTTCTCTGGAGCAGAGTTTGAGACTATTTTAAGATTAACTCTCATAATCTCTAAACCAAATTTTCTTTCAGGAGGGACAACAGAGAAAGAACCCGTAGAATTCTCTAGAGGGTTCCTAAGGGTCTGGCCTTGGCCCAGGCCATCTGCTATAGGCAGAGATTAGAAACAGGTGGGGGGATCTGCATTGACCTGGGAGCCCTTGACTCAGTCTTCCATCTTGGCCTTGTCACGGTGCTAAGCTGGGCATTTGGACCGAAGGTGATGTGACCATGAGTCGCACTACAGGACTGCTCTGTGTGGACACTTCTGATGCCTGCCCTCTGCGGACCTATCCCGCCGAGGCTGGGGAGGACGTGACCGCTTGGTCTTTTGCTCTTGCCATTGGTCATGCAGCCAAAGGTCCCCACAGGGCTGACTTTCCAACTTGGAAGCTGACGCGTGTGTCCTGAAGGATATGTCTTTAAAGGAAGTTTTTCCCATGCAAAATGCTGGAATGTATTTTGTCTCTTGTTCATCTGCTGTTCGTGTGTCGTTTGCTCCCGATCTCTGACTTGTTTCTCTGTTTTCTGTGTGTTGCAGGCAGCATAGTGTACCTCGGGATGATGGTGGGGGCGTTCTTCTGGGGAGGCCTGGCGGACAAAGTGGGAAGGAAGCAGTCTCTTCTGATTTGCATGTCTGTCAACGGATTCTTTGCCTTCCTTTCTTCATTTGTCCAAGGTTATGGCTTCTTTCTCTTCTGTCGCTTGCTTTCTGGATTCGGGTAAGGTTTCTCCTTCATATTTTATAGTAATGTGTTTATTCTTCGTAATTCTATATGTTCTCCACTCTAGAAGACCTCGTTACCAAGAAATTATCCCTTACCATGTCTCCTTCCCTATCTTGATGTCACCCTTAGGAGCCACAATGCTGGTTCTTAGAAATATTATGATCAGCCTTTAAATCCAGAAGAGAAGGGAGCACACATCTGTGTTCTCGTGGATGATTCTTTCAGTGTTTTCCTTCTAGGAGATGAGGATTGTTTTAAGTGGAATGCTGTTTCTATGGCAGAGCACATTCATAAATGTATTTTTCTTCTGAAAATTTAATTTAAACAAGAAATGGCTGTGGTCCTCCCTATGGTGAACTCCTTAAAGATTCGGCCCATTCCAGTATGCTCTGAAGTCCAGGGTGAGAGTGTCCCAAGCAAATATTGTTTTGTTGATCTGTGTTAACAGCATATGTAACTAGGTGGGAAGCGTGCCTCTTGAGATGTAGTAGGTTCTTTTTGTTGAATTAACAGGAGATGCGCTATTAGGCAAATGCAATGGCACAGTACAGCCAGTGGTATAGTCACTTTTTTTAAAAGAGCTTGAAGCACTTATTACTATACTAAGTGAAGCCACAACTTGGGAAAACCTAATAGCTCATAGGAGAGCCCAAGAAACTCTGCTTTGATAAGGAAAAAAAAAATAGTAAAAATATAAAATTTCTGATTCATGCTTGAGAACTATATTTTCATTAGAGACATTGTTTATGAGGTGTCTAGCCTAAGATGAATCTATAGAAATAATATAAAATAAAATAAAATAAATGAAGAAAGGAAAGGAGACAGTGCTGGGTTATGAATTTGAGAACCGTATCAGTTGTGGTTGTTGATGGTATTGGTATCCAAACAGCAAAACGCAGTTTTACCAAAAGAGAAGGTCAAAGGACTGCACCATGCCCTTCTTAATTCCATATTGTGGTGCTTTAAAAATCAGAGCCAGGACGGACAGGAATATAAGGCATCGGAGAGAAAGACTGTGTAAGTGGGTTACTTCAAGACTATAAAGATTTCCCCTTGCAGACCGATGGATCACTTTTATAATTCGTTCAAAATATTTTAAAACTTTTATATCATCTTCTGCCACAAAATTTGTGCACATATTGAGATTGATGGGTTATCCACAGATTTTTCTAATCTTCCTTTTATCTTCTTATAGCTCCTCATATGTTACATTCTGCACACAGTGGGCACTTTGCGAGTATGTGACTCAGTTGCACAAATTTCAGGAGCTTTCCTCAGAGTGACGACATTCCAGTACACCATTCCAGGAAACCAAGAGGGTTGGAAAGTTTGGGAAAGCATAAAAATATTTTTTCCTTGGAAAAACACGTTCAGAATCAATCATTTGGCTTGTAATGATGGAGGAAGAGGGGACCTCGCTGCTCAGGGCTCTGTGTGGATTGGCTCCATACGCTGCTGACATGGGGGGATAATTTGGATCATGGATTCAGGGGCTGCAGCAGACCCCTAATGTGTGAATTGAGATACCTGAGGAAGAACAGGTGTTATTTGGGGCTGTTTGTTAAAGGACCTTCTCAGTGCCTATAGGAGAAGAGATTCTTGCCACCAGAAAAGGCCAAGGCTGCTTTACTCTTTCTGCTACCTGTGTTATACCCCTAGCCTGTCAGGAGAAGGCCAGTAGCCTAAGTTCTGAACTTTCCAGTCCTTTCCATTTGCAATCTTATCCAGGAAATTTCAATGATATATCCACAGATTCGGAAGTGCTGACTGTGGTACGATTATGATGGCACTTTTAATTGCCAGTCTGGATTGTGACGTGGTCAACCCAAGTGACTGCAGGGAAAGGGCTGCTGTGGCGGCTGCCAAATACTCTACGCTAATGGGCTGTGCAGAAGCTAATTCAAGGGCAGGACGGAAGGAGAGACGCTTGGGTATATTCACGCTATCATCCTCTTCCATGTGGCAGACGAATCATCTTTAGCCGGCGGCTCAGGGCCGCTGACCTCTAAAGAACGTGATTTACCTGGCAAAGCCAGACTGCGTGTTGCTAACCCAGCCCGAGTCTGTAAACTGTGATACCAGAGGCTAACATGCAGTGCCTTTGGAAGTTGGCACAGGCCTGGGCTCCAGAAATCTAAGCCAAGCTGTCCCTGCCCTTCATGGTGGGGCCTTGGGAAGTCCCTCGGGCCCCCCGCCTGCTTCGTCTTTTGTAAAAGGGAGGTCCAGTCCTTTGCATTCCTCCCTTGGAGTGAGAGGATCAAGTGAGATGACTGATTAAAAGTGCCTGGCAGTGGAGGAAGTGTGGGATCATGTCAAGAAACGCTCCCCATGTTTGGCATTTCCTGCTCTCTGTTCTTCCTCCTGTTCATGGAGCTAAGCTGTCCGTGCTCATTGCCTCAGGGCAACAGCAGAGGGAGAGAGAGAAGGAGGCCTCTTTCTGGCTTTGAAATTTCAAGTCTTGCCCGTGAGGGAGACAGAAAGGACTCGTCATGGGGAAGAGACCTGGGAGAAAGCAGGGTGATAAAGTCGAGCATCCCTGCTTCTAGAACAGACGGAGCCTCCTGAGGCTGGGGCGGGGCCGGGGGACGGCGGGAGCTTACTCACCTGAGCCCAGGTGGCAAAAAACCCAGAGTGTTATGGGATCCAGCAGCTGAGGGGACCTGAGGGAAGAAGTTGTTAAGGAGAATGAGCAGTTATCTTTCTTCCTTGGCTGAGTTTACGGGCCACGTTACTGACCCGTAACGTGTGAGGTGCCACCCCCGACAGAGAGCTTTCTCAGCAGCTCTAGACTTCATCTGGACACCTGGTCTCTGAATCTCTGGGAAGTCTCAGCCAAGACTCTGTTTCTCCAATTCAACTCAAAACACACTTCAGCACCTGCTCTACCCCTGAGACGATGCTGGACAGTTCACAGATGTGGGTGAGGCTGGGCCCCAAGATGCTTCCCGGCTGGGCATGGAGGGAAGAACGGGCAGCTCCCCCATTCTCCACCTGCTGAGAACTAGTCACTCCCTGAAGAGGGAGAATGCTGGGGACTGCAAGGCTCCCTGGAAGAAGGAGAAAGCAGTGACACAATTGTGAATGAGCACTTAGAGGCTTGTCTTGTTTTTAAAGGCATATAATACTTAAACCCTTTCACTCCCATTACTTACGAACTCAGTATGCAAGCAACTGAAGTTTTGATATAGTCCCTTTTAACTTAAACATTCTTTATTAAAACTTAAGCCAAAGAGTTAAGACTTTCATCCTGGAGACCTTAAATAAGAGATCTTGTTATAGCTACTTAGCTAAGCAGCTGCCTCCATCCACGTCTGATCCACTTTTTAAGGTGGAGAAAACTAGATGACCAAGGAGATAAGGTTTCAGAATGTTGGGAATTTTTCTTTCGTGGGCCTCTGGTGCGCAGACCCATCAACACTCCACGTGTTTCCATGTGTTTCCGCGTGTCTCCCAGGAGCATCGCTCTCGCCATCCTTTCCACTTCTGAGGTTCTTCTCCCAGAGTCCTCAGCACTCACGACCTGTCCCAGTGGCTCCCATCACAGAAGCCTGTTTTGTTTTCTTGGGAGCACCTATCCATGCCTGAAAATACCTCCTTTTTATGTGGTTATTTCTCTCCTCCACCAGCATGTAAATTCCAAAAGAGAGGGGATTGACCAGACGGTTCTGTCTGCTCTTCACTGCTTAATGGCCCAAGACAAGGCAGTCGCTGTACAGGACACCGTCACAGTGGCAGTGGGAAGAGTCTGAGTCGCACGGACCTGTGGCATTGGCCTTATGTGATCGTGGTGTTCCTAGAAGTGAAATGGATTGGAAGTTTGCTAGAGTCTCGCTTGATCTAAGTGGAAGACTTCCAGGTCAAGTGAACAAAGTTTAACTTGAAGCATAAAAACAGAGAGCCGTGGCCCCTCAGTCAATTCCCAGACTTGAGCCAGTTTACACACCCAGAGCTCCCTGAATGGAGGCCAGGTCCCCTTGAGGAAGGAACCCCCGTACACCAATGAAAATTTATACCGTTCATCTTTCTCCCAGACTCCCCCAGGGGACCTATGGCCTTTCACCAGGGTAATTGTGCATGAAGGAAAAGGAGATAATCAGACTTTTTGAGGGTTACTAGGCACTAGGTCTGGACTGACAAGAATTCCAGGAGACCCCAATGTCACTGTCGTCCACCAGTCAGAGTAGGGGCTTATGGAGGTCTGGCCGTCAATGGAGTTTTAGCTCAGGTCCATCTCACAGTGGATCCGATGGGTCCGTGAGTCCATCCTGTGGTTATTTCCCAGTTCCGGAATGCATAATTCGAATAGACGTCACAAATGACAGAATCCCCACATTGGTGCAGCATCTGTCCACCAGTTCCATGCACTGGGAATTTCAGAGAAGGAAGAGAATTTCTGGGTCACAGTCCAAACCCTTCATTTTGCAGATTAAGGGTCAGTGATGGAGCCAGGAATGTCACAGCTAGGAGTTAAATTGCTATTAAGTCCTTTTGAACTAGCAACTCTGTAAACTGTGCATTCGGAATCTGCGGTTAAGATGCCTCTGTATTGATTTTACTGCAAATGCCACAGGTTTCTGTTGTTCTGTGTTGTTTCCTTGCTGAGGCACCACTAGCAGCACCGTGTTAGCCTCCTGTTTCTGCGTATAAGGGAGATGGGAAGGAGCTCTGGTGTCAGCCTGAGGTCTACCTGGGTTTATGGTTTCATTGCCTCTAAATGTGCTTTCCTCTTAATTCACCACACCAAGTCATGAGTATATCTTCTTAGAAGCATAAATATGTCCAGCTGCCATATTCCATGTGACTTTAAATATTTATCCACTACAAAGGATGCTTTTCCTGCCGGGGACAACTGTGTTTTGTGGGAGTGATGGATAGGGTACCACCCGTTGTTCATCTGTCTCTCACTTGCCTAAGTGATATCACACCAGGGAACAGACACTTCCCTCTCCTCTTTTGTTGCAGAAAATTAGAAAGATGGGCAATGGAGTTGACAC